TTTTACATCAAAAATTTTAAATTTAGCTAAATTTTCTGAAGTGGGGTAGCAAAAATACAGGATTTGGGGCAATTTATTTCTGTAGTGATTAAGAATTTCTAAATTTTTCCTAAAAAAAAAGAATGAATTAATGATTCATTCATTCTAACAACTATGAAACAATTTTTAAAATGGGAATTTAGAAATTTCTACCCCACACATTATAAGATTTTGATGCAATTTTTGAAATTTGCAGTCAAATTAAATTTTTTTGAAGAAAAGTTTTTAAAAAAGGCTAAAATTAAAAATTTAATTGAAAAATCATAAAGATTGATATAAATTAAAATTATAAAATTATTTATTTTTATATAAATTATATTCAAATACATCATCCATTCAAAAAAATAGTGATATTAAATCACTAAATTTTGAATGGCATTTGGCTTTTTTTTTATTTTTAATTAAATTTTTTTGATGAGTATTTTTAAAAACAATCATCATTTTGTTTTTCTTGATGATATATTTAAAGATCTAAAATAAAGTAACTAAAATTCGATGATATTGAAGAACCCCTCTCCAAAAAACTCTGCTTTAAGTGTTATTATACAAACCTTAAATCATTAAAATATTAAGAATTATAATTTGTAATTTTTTTAAAATTCTGCTGCTTGCTTTTAAGAAGGTTAAATTGATTTTAATAACAAAACTTTAAACATAAGTATTTCCTTGCTCTTTTGATCACAAAACTTGGATAAAGAACATAAATTTCATTAAAAAAAACATAAATTAGTATGCTTTCATTCAAGCATTATTGAGTACAGATAAAAATTCTTGATGATCATTTAAATTCTCTTAATTTCTTAATTTTTTCAATTTTGAAACAATTTGACTTTCATCTATTAGTACTTAGTAAATCAAGTTTTCAAAATTTTGTTCAGGACAAACACTTGTAAGTAAGTTGTATTCTTTAATATGATAGACATGAGGTTTTTGAGAATTCATAAATTTTTATTAGAAAATTAAATAATTTTAATTAAACTTTTAATTAAATTCCTATTCATCTTTGGAGAAAAGTAATATTACTTTTTTTCTTTCTTGTAATTAATTTTAATACATACTTTTAGAATAGTTTATATCATATTTAAAGTTGCCCAAATTGTTTTAAGAGACACCATTTAATTAGTTATAGAATTACTCCAGGTATAGCTAATCTTATTTATTGTGTTAGTAAACATGTTAGAAAGACTAAAAAAGAGCCTATTTCCAGTGAAGATTTTTTTTGGAGTTTTTTTATTCTTAGATTAAAACTCTTTAAATACTTTAAAATGAATTTATAATCTAATTGTAATGAGTTTCAGAATAGGTATTAGTGAATGGCATAAATATGTCTAATTCTGTGTGGAATATTAAAATCAGCATTTTATCATTTTTGGTCATTAATTTATTTTATTAAATATCTTTAAGACATTACTCTACAGAAGAGTTTTGAATTTAATATTCTAATTATATTAAAAAAACAATATCTATTCCTTTGTTCATCTCTTGATACAAATCAAATTTAATATCTACCAATTAATATAAAGGAGTTTTTCTAAATATTTAGTTTAAATGATAAATTGCTTTCTTTCTTAGAGTTTTATTGTAATAAGTTCCTTCTTCTAAACAAAAAGTAAATTATTCAGCAGCATTTTTTAGGTTATTTTAGATTTGTTCTAAAAATCCATTTAAAAAGTATTGTCTACTTTTTTGAATTTCGAAAATTTACGCTTTAACATCTTAATTATTTTCATAAATGCTAATTTATTAATCAACTTTTGAACCTTATGTAAATCTTTTAATAAAAGATTGATTTAATTTTTCTTACAAATTTTTTGCAGTAACTAAAAGTTAAACTAAATCTTTTAAATCATTTTTATTTTTTTGATATGATTTTAAATTAATCATTATTTCTATAATCTCTTAAAGTAAGAAAATTTTAAATATCACTGAAAAGCTCTTATCATTTTGCAATACTAAATTATAAATAATCTAATATTTATTCAAAGATGTTTTCAATAAAGCATTAATTTCATTCGTTTGATCACAAATAATTCTGGAAGCATCGATTTGTTTGTTGAATTTTTGTGGAATTTAAAAGCCTTATAAGCTTATAAAATCCTAATAAATTAAAGAAAGAGCCTACTCTTTCAAACTATAGGCACTAGAAACTATTTTCTTAGTTATAATTAGTAACGGATTTTCATAGTTTTTTTTATTTAGATTTAGGATTTTTTAGTTAATCAAATTTTCTTAACTTATTCCTATCATTTATAAGCTAACCTAAATTGTAGCTTCAAAATATTCAGATGCTAGTTAGTAATCGTATTTAATAAGATATATAATTCCTAAATTAAAATAACATCTGCTCAGTCCTGTTTAATTTTTTAGCTACTAAAATGTCACTTTCGCTTTTGAAAAGTGAAAAAGAGTGTTCATATTATCTTATTAATTTTAGTTTTATGCATCAATCTTATAATTTATAAGTATTTCTAAATCTTAAAAAACTTTTTTAATGATTTTCATTTCTAAAAATAGTGGTTTCAAGCCTTAAAGAATCTTTTTTTTGTCATTTTCTTTCTTTTTTTATAATATTTTTACTTCTGAAATACTTTGAGATCGAGTACTTAACTTACTAAAATTGGATTGTTTTAAGGAAGTATTAGGTAGTTTAAAAGTAACGCTTCTTTCTAAGGAATTCTGCTAAAAAGATTAATTCCTTAATTAATATTAATCTGAATTACTTTCACTATTTATAACTTATTCACCACTATAGTTAATAGCTTTATTTTCACCTAAAGATTTAAAAAGATTATTTTACTGATTGAAACTATTTCTTTAGTAGGTAAAAATACTATTAGAGTTCTTTAGCTATAAATTATCAAATTTATATTTTTATATATTGTTTTAGAATGTTTTATCATTTAAATATTATTCTGTTTCACCATTTCCACATTATTTAGATGATTCTTCTTCAAATAAACTCCTTTATTTTGTATCATTCAACACAGTTTGGTTTTGGCTTTAATTTTAACTATATTTCTAAAAAGACCCTTAGTATTACTGATTTTATTTTAGTTTTCTTAATTTTTTGTCAATAGTCTCTTTTACTTAACTTTGTTTTCTTTTCTAACCTGATAGGTTTGCTTCATTTTTGTTTAAACTCAATTTATTAAATTATTACAAATATGATTATTACTCTTTGAGACTCTTTTTCAAAAATTTTATCAAAATTTCTATTGGTTATTTGATTGAATAAAACTAAAATAGTCCATAATTGATAATAAAAATTAAGATTATTGAGCTAATCAAACCAAATTCAATTAATAAAAATATTTTTATTAAATTGGTGTTTATTAAATTAAATAGTTTAAGTTTATCGCTATTATCTGATATTACTCTTCCCACTAAAATTATAGCAAAAGAATATGGTTTCTAATTGTTATATCCTCTGAGCTTACTTTAAACAGGAAGAACAATACTAACTCTAAAAAAAAATAATTTATTTCATTAGTTTTTAAAATGAATAAACTAAAAATGTTTTATTACTTTAATTTAATTTTCAATAAAAAATATTTTTAAAATAGTTAAAGAAATTGAGTTTGAAAGAAAAAGAAATAGCTTATTCCCAAAAAATACTTATTGGTTGATCATGAATATTGACCAGTTAAATAAAAAATGTAATTTTTAGGCTCAATCTTAATAAGAAAAACTATGATTCTTAAATGAGGGTTTTCTTTAAAAAATTTTATTAAATTATTTTTTTTAAATATTAAATTAATCTTCTTAAAAATTAAAATTAAACGCGTACTATTTTTAGCCAAACCTCTCCCACTGTTAATAAAGTTAGCTCAAACTAGTCTAGTTATCAATCGTATAATTTCCAGTTTTAATATACTCTATTGTTTTATTGACTTAATCAGAAAATGAATACTATTGTTATTAACAAAGATCCATTTATTCCTAAGAATTTCTACAAAATTAGTTTGTGTTAAAAAACTCGACATCTGCCCATGCTGTTACTTATTAGAAAACAAGTAAAGGATGATAGAGGACCTATAATTTTATTAAGTATAAAATATTTTAAAATTAATTCTATAAAATAAATTTATCAAAAAATAATTTACTGTTGAGTTAAATTCATGAATCAGCACTGAATACTAATTTTCACTTTAATTAGAGTCGAATAACTTAACTATGTTTTACATGGTAAAGTCAATAGTATCTACAGAATAAAATTACGATTCATACTCCATTTAAGTCGATAAACTCATAAGTATATTTCCAGTTAAAGCATCAGTATATGGCTCATAAATAAAAATACCTAAATAAATCAAAAAAGTAAATAAATTTAATTTAGTTAAAATTATTACTAATAGAAATGAGAATAAATTTATTTGAAAAATTATTACTAAAAGAAATGAGAATTAATTTATTTGAAAAATTATAAATATTGTTTAGGAATCTTAATATCTTAATTTAATTAATTAATTACCTTTATTATTTTAAGCATATACAAACCAATCTCTACATCTAGGATCATATGGCTCTGTGTAATTAGTCCCATAGCAGGTCTCATAGCTGGATTCTGTATAATTGTAAAATCTATTTTTTATGAAAATAAAACAAAATTTATGTATTAGCATACCAAACAGATAATTTTTATTTATTTATATTTTGTAAATATGAGTATAACAAAATTTTTTCAATATACTCTAATTATTATTATTAATAATAGATTTCACTAATTTAGAAAAAAAAATTCAAAATTATAATAGTTCAAAAAGTAGGTATTATTTTTTTTATTTCTCTTCTTGATTTTAGATATTATGTTATTTAAAAATAAAAAATGAATATAAAATTACACTGAAGGCAATAAGGTTTAAGCTGAGGTATTATCTGAATTATAAATATTGCTAATTTATATTAAGCCCTAAGTCTGTGTTGCTTAGAAAGCAGCTCTTCCGTAAAATGAGATAAAATCGTTCTAATTAATAGTAAAAATAAAAAAAACAAATAAATATATTAGTAAAAAATATTAATTAAATTAATAATTACAGTTTTGATGAAATATTGTTATTAAGGAGTTAATAAGTTGAATTTAAATTAACTTCTAACAAAATAAAGATCTCCATAAAACAAACTTTCATTTAATTAATCATAAACATATTGAGGACATTCATTATATGTAAATTCTCTATAAGAGCAAATAGTAAATATTGTTTTTGGATTATCTTTTTTAAATAGTGTATAAGATTAAATTCTCTTTTTTAAAATAAAATTATACATATAATCTAAGCATTCTAATACTTCTTAATCAAGCCTGCAACTACCACCATGTGTAACTCTAGCTATTTTATTTTTATTGATATTGTCATTTTATTAATCATTTAAAAATAACTTAAGAATTTTATCAAAAAAATGTACCTAATTAAAGCTATACTCTAGTAAAACCTAAGAAGAATAAGCAGAATTTTTTAAAATCTACTATTACAATTAGTTTATCCACTAAATACTATCATCCTACCTAAGTATTTAAATATCAATTAAGGTATTTAGCTACATTGAAATAATACTAAAAGAATCTTGTTGATAAAAATAATAAAATTAAAAATATATACCATTGATCAAGAGCATTCTAAAGAATATTATAATAAATTGCTAGTACTATTGCAACTCCAATAATTATAGGTAACGATACAGTTACTATAAGCGTCAATATAACTCTTTTCATACTAAATATTTTGATAATATTTGTTATTCCTACTTTTATTATTATTTAGTATGTATTTAAATATAAAAATAATTAACAAATAATAAATTATTAACTTCTACTATTAGATAAATTATTAGCTTTTTTATTGGAAACAATAAAAATATATAATATTGGAGTCAAAGACAATGAATCATCATATATATAAAGAAATAGGAACTCTGTCTCAGGATTTTTGGAAGAAAAAAAATAATCATCGCCATCATCACACATTAAAAAAATTTCAGTGATTAAAAATAAAGGTTTTGTGAATTTGAGCTTACATAAATATATATATAATTTTTTCAATGCTATTATTTTTAATTGAATTTGAAAATTTTACATTCCAGTAGAATTATGTGAATGAATTAAATAAGTATTTTATAAATCAAGTATTATTGAGAATAGATAAAAATTCTTAATGATCATTTAAATTATATTAATATCTCAATTATTTTAGTTAGGAAATAATTTATTTTTCATCTGATTATTAATAAATGAAGTTTACTAAATTTTTATCATTCTTAACACTTCTAAGTAAATTATGTTCTTTTATATGAAAGACATGTGGTTTTTAAAATTTCATAATTTTTTAAAGGAGAATTAAATTATTTTGATTTAATGATTAATTCATTAATTAGTTTTCATCTTTTGAAAATAAAATAATTATTTTTTTCCTCTCATTTTACTAAACTTATTTTATATTTTATTAATATGTCATTTCATATTTAATACCTTTGTTATTAGATTTTGGAATCCTTTTTATTTATTGTTACATTTAATATAAATATAACTTATCTTATTAGTTATTTTGATAAATGTAATTTAATGACAGAAAAAGAGCTTATCTCCAGTGAATTAGTTGTTTAGAGCTTTTAATTTCTTGGAGTATAACTCTTTATATGCTTTCAAATGAATGATAAATCTAATTCCACTGGCTTTCAGTATTGACACTAGTAAATGGCATAAAAACATCTAATTCTTTGTGGAATATTAAAATAAGAATTCGATCATCTTTTCTAATTAGATTAGATTTTTGAATATTTTTAAGACAATTCTCAACACTAAAGTTTTATATTTTAAACTCTAATTAAACTAAAATGATAAAATCTATTGCATTATTAAACTCTTAATTCAAAACAATATTCATATCTAACATTTAATTTTAAGGAATTGATTGAAATAAATAGTTTAAATGATAAATTGCTTTTTATCTTAATTGATTGTTATAATGGGTACCTTCTTCTAAACAAAAAGTAAACTATTCAGCAGCTTGTTTTAAGTTATTTTTTTTTTATTCAAATAAACCAATCAAAAAGTGTTGCCTACTTTTTTGAATTTAAGTAATTTATGCTTTGATGCCAACATTTTCTTCATAAATTTAACTAGTAATTTTTTATTTTGATTTATTTTATAGATTTTTTACAACGCTTAAATATTTAGATGTTACTTTTAAGTCATTATTTATATTATTTTTATCTTACAAATTAATCATAATTTCAATAATTTCCTAAAGTAAGAAAATTTTAAAAATGATAGAAAAATTATTATCATTGTTCAATACCAAATTATATACAATCTTTAATTCGCTTAAAGATTTTTTTAGTAAAGCATAGATTTTGGATTAACTTTAAATTATTTTTAAGTTATTTTTTTATAGAAAAAGCTTTTCTTATCTTCCGCTTTCTCTGTAATAGTTCTAATAAATCAAAGAGAAAGCTTATTCCTTATAGCAGTATGCCTTTGAAACTATTTTCTTTGAAAGAATTAACAAATGATTAACTGATTGATGACTATCTTGATTTATTATTTTATAATTAATTAAATTTTCGTGATTTATTCCTATTATTTCGAGATTCATTTAAATAGCAGATTCAAAATATTCAGATGCTAGATTGTAATCATATTTTATAAGATGTATAATTCCCAAGTTAAAATAACATCTACCCAATCCTGTTTAATTTTTAAGCTATTGAAATGTTTCTTTTGCTTTTGCAAAATGAAAAAGAGTGTTCATTTAGTCTTATGAATTTTGGTATTAAGATTCGATTTTATAATTTACGAGTCTTTCTAAGTTTTGAAAAACATTTTTGATTATTTTCATTTCCAAAAATAATGGTTTTAGTCCTTTAAGTATCTTTTATTTTTCATTTATTTATTTCTAATTTTATTAATTTTTACATTCATAAAATCCAACTGATTTTTTAGTAAACTTACTAAAATTAGAAACCTGTAGAGATGTATTAATTTGATTAAATGTAACGAAATTTTCTTAAATATTTTGCTAGGATACTTAAGATTTAATTTAATTTAAATCAGAATACTAACTTATTTAGCTATTTATCAATTTTTCAGATTTATGATACATATTTTTGTTTTCAGGTAGAGGTAAAAAAACATATTTTTAATAATTTAAATAATCTTTTTACCTGCTAAGAGATATACTATTTGATTATTTTAACTGTTAATTATGAAATGTGAATTTCTCAAATTTATTTTAGTAAGATTTATCTTATATAAATTCTTCAAATTCACTACTCTAATATTATTTAGATAATTCTTCTTCAAATAACGTCTTTATTATGGTTTAATTAATTATCTAAGTTTAATTTAGGTTTTAATTTTAATTTTATTTTTAAAATTTTTAGGAATCTTAACAATTGTTATTTATTTATTTATCTTATTTTTTATCAAAAGGGTTGATTACTTAATTTGAACTCACCTTATGAACTTAAAGCATTTTTTCCTTTTTATCAAAAGGTAATTTATCATATTTTCCTAAATATATTTATTATTCCTTGTAACTCTATTTTAAGAATTTTAATAAAATTTCTATTGGTTATTTTATTGAATAAATTAAAAATAATCCATAATTAAAAATAAAAATTATTATTATAAAAATAATAAAAGCAAACTCAATAAATAAAAGAGATTTATTTAAGCTAATATTTAGGAAATTAAACAGCTTGAATTGTTCTCTGCTATCAATTAATACTTTTACAGCCAAAATTATAGCAAATGAATATGGCTACTAATTGTTATATCCTTTAAGCTTGCTCTTAATAGGAAAAATTATACTAACTCTAATAAAAAAAAATTATTATTTTCATATTTAAAATCAATAAATTAGCAGTGATTTTTATTTTTAAAATTTAGTTTGAATAAAAATTTTTAAATATCTCTATAAATAATCACATTTATTTTGTATTATAATTAAGTTATAATGAACAATGATTAATATTTACAAATATACATGTCCATCATTTTAGTAATTTTATGACTTAAAACGCCTATAAAAATATTTTAAAATTTAGTAAATGCTAAAATTAAAAATTAGTTGAACATTTTTAATATACATTTAAGAGATGTTAAAGAATATTAAAATACTACTTTTAATACAGTATTTGAAGTATATGAGTATATTGTATGAATTAATCTGGAAAAATATTCTGATATTCAAAATTATTGATGATGTTTTTGTTTGTTTTTTCATACTTCTTACAAATTAACTAAAATTGATAAAATCTTTAAATAATAACTATTTAACTATAAAAAATATTCATAAAATAATAATAGATTAATCCTATAAATATATTTAAAACATCAAATTATATCTTAGTGTAATTATTTTGATTGTATTTTTAATCCAAAATTATATTTATTATTTTTAGAAAATAGTTGGATTTTCTTGCTTGCGAAAAAATAAACCAAATCTTTTATCAAAATAAAATATATTTATTCGGCTTTTAAATTTCTATTTTGATTATTTTATGCTTTGATTAGAATAAATTAATTTTTTAATCACAAAAAAAAAAAAAACTTTAATCAAAAATATATACTATTTTTGGCCAAACCTCTCCCAGTATTAATAAAGTTAGCTTAAACTAGCTTAATTCTCAATAGAATAGTTTCCAGTTTTAATGAATTCAATTGTTGAATTTACTTAATCTGAAAACTATTATTTTTGTATTTAACAAAGATCCATCTACACTTAAGAGTTACTGCAAAATTAGTTTATGTTAAAAAATTCTATATCTGCCCATGATGTCACTTATTAGAAAACAAGTAATGGATGAGAGATAACCTAATTAATGTTTTATAAATATTTATAACTAAGATATAACTTTTAGATTATTAAATATTTTATAATAAAATAAAATAAATTATATTACTGAAGAGTTAAACTCATGGATTAGCACAGAATATTAGTTTTTACTAAAATAAGAGTTAAATAATTTATTTATGTTTAACATAATAAAGTCAATAGTATCTACAGAATAAAATTAAGATTCGTATTCAATTGAAGTAGATAAGCTCATTAAAAGATTTCCTGTTACTGCATCAGTGTATGGCTCATAAATAAAAATACCTAGTTAAAATTATTATGTTTATTCAACTATAAAATAGTTTAAATTTTTGTTAGAAATATGTGTTTTTTTATTCTTTTAATTTCAGATGTCTAAAAATATTTTTATTCAATCTTTTAATGACAATATTTTTGATTAAGTTTTATTTAGCTTATTTAAATATTTTAATTTTTACAATAAATTAAAAATCAATATAGAACTTAAAGAATTTCTTAAGAAAATTAATTACTTTCAAAACTAATATAATAATGAAAATACTTTATATTTGATGACTGAAAATAAATCATATTTATTTTAGGTGAAAGTATTTTTTTTAAAAGAAAGGATGGAAAGTCTGTTTCTTTATTAATAACCATATTGAGTCTCAAAATATTTTATAATTTAATACCTTAGTGATTTTAAGCATATATAAACCAATCTCTGCATCTAGGATCATATGGTTCAGTAAAATTAGTACCTTTACAGGTCTCATAATTGGATTCTGTATAGTTGAAAAGTCTAAAATTTATTAAAAAAAATACCGTCTATTATCGAGTTTAAGGATAAAAAAAAATAATTTTTAAAGAAACTCCTCCTCTAAAATAATAATTAAAATTTTTAATCTAAAATTTACGTAGATGGCAACATTGTTTAAATTGAAGTATTATCTGAATTATAAATATTTATAATTTATATTAAACCTTCAACTTGCGTGGCTTTATAAGCAGCTCTTCCATAAAAAGATATGAAGTCATTCTAATATTAAAAAAGTAAATTTTAATAAACATTTTAGGAAAAAATATCTATGAATTTGGTATGTATTGATTTATTTACTGTTTTAATAAAGTATTGCTACTAAGGAGTTAGTAGATTGAATTTGAATTAACTTCTAACAAAATAAAGATCAGCATAAAATAAGCTTTCATTTAATTAATCATAAACAAATTGAGGACATTCATTATATGTAAATTCTCTATAAGAGCAAACTGTGAAAATCGCTTTTGGATTATCTATTTTGAATATCATCAAAGAAATAATTTATTTACTTTATATTAAAAAAATCATACATATAATCTCTTGATTTTAATATTTCTTAATTAAAGCTGTGACTACTACCATATGTAATTATAGCTATTTTTTAGATTTTTGTTGTTAATTTATGATTTATGTTTCATGAATTATTTTAGATTTTCAAATAAACATTTACCTAATTGAAGCTATACTCTAGTAAAACCTAAGAAGAGTAAGCAGAATTTTTTAAAGTTTACTACTACAATTGATCTACCCATTAAATACTATCATTCTACCTATATTTTAAAATTTTTTATTAAATCTTTGACATTTTGTAAATAGATAATGCCAATCAATTTGATTAAATGAAAAAAAAAATACATTATAATTAATATAAATTATAAACCATTGTTCAAGGGCTGACCATAGAGTATTGTAAAAAATTGATAGCACTAATAACACTCCAATTATCATTGGGAATGAAACAATTACTATAAGCTTTAATATTAAATACTTCATACTAAATTAAGATATTTTATCTATTCCTTTTGTATTTTCTTGTTCGATAAAATTAATTAAATATTAAATGTTAATAATTTACTTCTACTTTTTTTCCTAAATTTCAATTTAATAAAATATGTATGTATGTATGTATAAACATTTACTATGAATCAAAGTCAATAATTTAAAGAAAACAGTTTTTATATAGCATTTTAAATAATTTGAATAAACAATATTTCTAGTCTTTTTTATTTTATTTTGTTGATTTATTTATTTTTCTTCTAACTTATTCTAATTATTTTAATTTTTCAATATAATTTTTTGATTAAAGAAAACTTCAATTTGTTTAGAAATAATTTTAATTAAATGTAATCTAATAGCATTAAAAATTAAAATTTGATTTAAAAAAACATGCTAGGTATATATAATTTTATTTCTCGCATTTACAATATTTATAATTGATTTAAGTTCAAGTATTGTTGAGAATATATAAAAATTCTTGATGGTCATTCTAATTGTCTTGATTTCTCAATTACTTTAATTTAGAGATAAGTTACTTTTCATCAAATAGTGATTCATATATAAAGCTATCGTTATGATAATCAGTTTTAATGCTTTTAAATAAATTATACTCTTTTATATGGTAGATATGTGGTTTTTAAAGGATCAGAATTTTTTATTAGAAAATTAAATTATTTGTGTTTAATTGGTAATTTAATTCTGTTTCATCATTCGAAAATAAAACAATTACTTTTTTTCTCTCATTTTGTTAATTTTATTTTATATTTTAAAAATATTTTATTGGAAATTTAACATTATTATTTTATTGAATCAAATTGTATTACTTATAAATTTAATCAAAATATAGTTAATCTTAGCTGTTTTATTGGTAAATATATTCAAAAGATTTAATAAGAGCTTAGCTCCAGTGAAGTTGCTGCTTAGAATAATTCTGGTTTTGTATAAAAATTCTTTAGATGTTTTGTACAGAATTAATAATTAAATCCCAATTAGCTTCAGTGCTGACACTAGCGAATGGCATGAATACATCTAATTCTGTGTGGAATATTAAAATAATCACTCTATCATTACTGTTTATCAAGTTAGATTATTTTATGTTTTTAAGACACTACTCAACAGTTGAGCTTTAAATTTAATATTCTAATTCAATTATTATAACTAAGTCTAATGATTAATTTGAGTCTTCATTCAAAATAGATTTTAAATCTTCAATTTTATATTAAGGAAGTTTTGAAAATAAATAATTTAAATGATAAATTGCTTTCTTTCTTACCGTTCTATTATAATTTATACCTTCTTCTAAGCAGCAAGTAAATTACTCAGCAGCATTTTACAGATTATTTTGGTTTTATTCTAATAGCCCTTATAAAAAATGTTATCTACTTTTTTGAATTTAATTAATTTATCCTTTAGCATCAAATTTGTCTTCATTAATTTAGCTTTTGTTTGTCTACACAGTATATTAATCAATTGAAATTCTTTGTGAAATTATTTAAAAGAAAGATAAGTCAGTTTTTTTTAACAGATTTTTAGAAATATCTAAAAGTTAAACCAAACCTTTTAATTCATTTTAAGTAATTTTATTTTATTTTATGTTAATTAGGGTTTCTATAATTTCTTGTATTAAGAAAATTTTAAATATATCTGAAAAACTCTTCTCGTTGTTCAATACTAAATTATAAACAATCTAAAACGTATTCAAAGATTTTTTTAATAAAGCTTAACTTTCTTATATTTGTTAATGCTGCGTATGTTATACTTTTACTTCATTCATATGGTCAAAATCCTAATAGATTAAAGAAAAAGCCTATTCTTTCAAACAATATGCCTTAGAAACTATTTTCTTAGACAGAATTAGTAACTGGTTTTCTGATCTTTTGTTATTTGGATTTATGATTTTTTAATTAATCAAATTTTCATAACTTATTCCAATGATTTCTAGATGAAATTAAATTGCAGATTCAAAGTATTCAGAAGCTAGTTTATATTCATATTTCATAACAAAAATAACACCCAAATTAAAATAACATCTACTCAATCCTATTTAATTTCTAAGCTATTAAAATGTGACTTTGGCTTTAGAAAAATGAAAAAGAGTGTTCATATTATCTTATGAATTTTAGTTTTATGCATCAATTTTATAATTTATGAGCATTTCCAAATCTTGAAAAACTTTTTTGATGATTTTCATTTCTAAAAATAATGGTTTTAAACCTTGAAGAATCTTTTGTTTGTCTTTTTCTTCATTTTATTTTTTAAAAGTGTTTTCTTCTTAATAGTTATGAGATAAAATGCTTATCTTACTAAAATTGGAGTGTTTCAATGATGCATTCACTTGATTAAATGCAATGCTTCTATCTGAGGATTTTTGTGAAGTAGATTGATTTATTAATTTATTAGAATATGAGTCATAAAGAATTTGCTAATTTATCACTTATTCAGTTTATTTAATATATTTGTTATCATCTTAAAATTAAAAATTGTTTTTTTATTAATTTTAGCTAGTATGATGAAAATCAAAACTATTATTTGAGTTTTTTAACTAATAATTATCCATTATTAAATCTGGAGAGTTATTTTCTTTTATTTTATCAAAAATGAAATAGTCTTTCCCATCATTTTCACTCTATTTAAAAGATTCTTCTTCAAATATATTCTTTTATAGATTCTTATTCAATATCTAAGTTTAATTTTGGCTTTCATTTTAGCTATTTTTCCAAATTTAATTAGATTTATTTTAATTAGCCTGTATTACATTTTTATATATTGATTTTTACTTCTTTCTTGCTGCTTTCTTTTGAGCTAGAGTTTTTATTTTTTAATTACTTTATTTGTATTAATTATATTTTATTGAATTTTTTTACTGCTCCTGATAGCTCTTTTTTAAGAATTCTATTAAAATTTCTATTGGCATTTTGATCGAGTAAACTTAGAATAGGCCATAATTTATTATAAAAATGATTATTATCGAACAAATCAAGCCAAATTCAATTAATAAAAACATTTTAATTAAACTAGTGCTTATAATATTAAACAATTTAAACTGATCACTATTATCTGCTATTACTCTCCCAACCAAAATTATTGCGAAAGAATAAGGCTCTTAATTGTTATTTCCCTTAAAATTGCTCTAAATAGGAAGAACAATGCTGACTCTAATAAAAATTAATTATGTTTTAATTATCAAACTTAATAAAGTGAAAATTAATTTATGTTTTTTAAATTTAAAAACAGGTGAATTTTTAAAAAAATGTTTCACAATTTAATAAATTTTTCTTATTGAAAAAATGAAAATAAAAAATATTTACTATTTTTGGCCAAACCTCTCCCACTAATAATAAAGTTAGCTCAAACTGGTTTAATTTTCAATTGAATAGTTTCCAGTTTTAATATATTCTATAGTTTTATTTATTTAATCAGAAAACTATTATTTTTGTTATAAGCAAAGATCCATTTACTCTTAAGAACTACTGCAAAATTATTTTATATTAAAAAATTCTATATCTGCCCAGGTTGCAACTTATGGGAAAATTAGTAAAGGATGATATATTGCCTATAATATTTATTTTAAATGATTTAATTAATTAAAATTAACTTTACAAATGTAATATTCTATAATAAATGCATTTGTTTATTTATTTATTTACCGATGAATCAAATTCATGAATCAACACAGAATATTAATTTACACTTAAATTAGAGTCAAATAGCTAAACTATATTTTACATCGTAAAATCAATAGTATCTACAGAATAAAATTAATTTTCATATTCCATCTAAGTAGATAAACTCATTATTAACTCTCCAGTCAAGGCATCAATGTATGGCTAAAATATAAAAATACCTAGTTAAATTAATCATGAAATATAAATTAATTGATTTATTTTGTTAAAATTCTATTTTGCTAATTCAATTAATTTTTTGATAAAAGAACTTTTAATAAAGAAGAATTAAATTTAAAATAAAAATTAACAAAACTAATTGTAGATAATAATAATAAACAAAGAATTAATTAAGAATAACTAAATACTATTTTTATAGGTTTCATTAAAAATGTTAGTAATTTAAAAATTTTTATCATAAATTTCAAAATATTAAATAAAATAAAAGTTAAGAAATTAATTCAATTTTTAATATTTAATTTTTTAACTAA